AAACAATCCCCTTGTGCAGGAAAGGGGGCAAAGGGGCCAAGAAACCCTCTTGGCTGAACAGGGAAATCCAGGAAAGCCTAGGGGCAAAAAAAAAAAGGCACATAGGTTATGGAAGCAGGGGGTAGCTACCAAGGCAGAGTATACCTACTTGGCCCATGCTTGCAGGGAGGCAGTCAGAAAGGCCAAAGCAGAAATGGAATTTAGATTGGCAACAAAAATTAAAGACAACAAAAAGTCCTTCTTCAGGTATGTAGGGAGCAAAAAGAAGGTACAGGGTAACATAGGTCCCCTACAAGACAAACTAAGGGAATCGGTGACAGAGAGGGGGGACAAAGCTGAGATCTTCAATGACTTCTTTGCCTCTATTCCTGAACTTAGATCAGGACAAATCTCCCAATTGGATCATACACAGGCATAAAGGGGAAACCAGCCCACCAACTGTTAGCACCAACTTAGTGAAGAGACAATTGGAAAGGCTGCATGTGTTTAAGTCAGCAGACCCAGATTATCATCCAAAGGTGCTGAAGAAATTGGCCAGTGTCATAGTAGAGCCACTGGCACGGCTGTTCGAGCATTCTTGAGGACCCAGAGGACTTGAAAAGGACAAATGTGGTCCCTGTTTTCCAAGAGAGGAAGGAGGATCTGGGTAACTATAGATCAGTTAGTTTCACCACTATCCTCGGGAAAACCTTTGAAAAAATTATTAAGGATTACATTTGTTGGAATCCAGTGTGGAAAGCAATGCTAAAAGGCAACCAGCATGGATTCATAGCAGGTAGATCCTCCCTGACTAACTTTGTTTCTTTTTATGACCAGGTCACAAAATGCTTAGATGCAGGAATCAATGTGGATATCATCTACTTGGATTTTAAGAAGGCCTTTGAAATAGTATCTCATTATATTTTTATAGATAAGCTGAGCGACTGTGACGTAGATGATTATGCAGTCAGGTGGGTGGCAAATTGGCTGGGGGTCGCACCCAGAGAGTGGTGGTGGATGGGTCAGTATCGACCTGGGAAGATGTGGGCCATGGAGTCTCACAAGGCTTTGTCCTTGGACTGGTGCTGTTCAATGTCTTCATCAGTGACTTGGATGAGGGCATGAAAAGCACTCTGTCCAAATTCACAGATGATACCAAATTACAGGGTACAGTTAACACACCAGAGGGTAGGGAATGAATCCACACAGATCTGGACAGGTTGGAAAAGTGGGTGGAACAGAAAAGGATGCAGTTCAATTAAGCACAAAGGCAAGGTGCTGCATCTAGGGAGAAGGAATCACCAGCACACTTACAGGCTTGTGGAGGACCTTCTCAGCAGCACAGCAGTGGAAATGGATCTTGGAGTCACTGTTGACTCCAAGATGAACATGAGTCATCAATGTGATGAAGCGATCAGTAAAGTTAACTGCACTTTATCACGTATTAGCAGGTGCATGACAAATAGGTCCAAGGAGGTGATACTTCCCCTTTATGCAGCGTTGGTCAGGCCACAGTTGGAGTACTGCGTTCAGTTTTGAGTGCCACACCTCAAGAGAGATGTGGACAACCTTGAGAGGGTTCAGAGGAGGGCCACTTGTATGGTTAGGGGCCTGCAGGCAAAGCCCTATGAGGAGATTGAGGGACCTGGATCTCTTCAGCCTCCGCAAGAGGCTGAGAGGTGATTTTGTGGCCGCCTACAAATTCATTTGGGGGCGGGGGGGACAGCAAGGAATAGGAGATGCTCTGTTTATCAGGGTACCCCTTGGGGTAACGAGGAACAATGGCCACAAACTGACGGACAGCAGATTTAGGTTAGACAACAGGAAGAACTTCTTTACAGTAAGGGTTAACAAAATCTGGAATGGGCTTTCAAGGGACGTGATGCTCTCTTCCACCTTGGGGGTCTTTAAGAGGAGGCTAGGCATGTACCTGGCTGGGGTCATCTGACCCTAGTGTTTTTTCCTGCCCAGGGCAGGGGGTCAGACTCAATGATCTGCTAAGGTCCCTTCTGGCCCAAACATCTATGAACCCTCTCCCCTTCAGAGGGTGGTGTATCAGCAGGTATCACAGCATTTTATCTGTGACAGTATATTTGAATTTCAGCCAAAGATTTAACTTTAAAACATTTAATATCCAGGGTCTTAAAACTGAGAGACTCAATGTTACCTTTTGTATAATATTGCTATAATGCTCGTTAAAGATCCGCAGTGCCTTACCCTAGTCACATTTGTAAAGCAAAAGCAGTCAAAACCAGTTAAACTTAGAACTGCCTGTGACTTTAAAAAAAAAATGATTGTGCATATTTGGTCCATTCAAACTTTGCAAAGTGATCACCAATCCTCAAAAATCTGCACCTTCTGAATCCTGGAAGTTCAGAGTTCTTAGAAGGCTCATTTTTAAAGCTTTAGTAGCAAGTGTGTATCATACTAATCTAATGCTAAAGTGTTTAAGCCTTCAAACTTTCAACAATAAAGTCACATTAAGGTTAAGGATAAACATGTAGGTTCTTTACACAAAAGAAAGTAACCTGTTTAAATTCGCTGATGACACCAAAATTTGGGGGGAGGTGAGCACGCTAGCAGGG